AATACGGCTACATTTGGCATTTTTAAGATTTTAACAGAATTCCTAATGGATTTTATTTTTTTTGAAAATTTTCAAAATCATTCCAAATGGTGGAGGGTATTCGAAGATCTACCCGGCCGAACTTACAGTTTTTTTACTTGTTGTTATAGAAAAGGTTGACCCTTTGTGGGGGAGGTGCCACAAGGAATGGTCCGATATTTACCATATTTATAACACGTTTTGCGTTGATAGAGATATTGATATCTGCCAAGCTTGAATGGAATCGAATGTTAATTTCGTGTTTCATGAGTTTCATGGATATTCAAAAATTTGACCCTTTGTGGCGGAGGTACTTGATGGAGTGGACCAATATTTTTCATTTTCTCACCTAACCTAGCACTGATGCAAACATTAGGATTGGAAAAGTTGGAGGGTACAAACAATAAGTTCGGCTGTGCCGAATTTCTAATACCCTCCACCATTGGGTAAAGAAAACATTTGTATATATAAGTATGTGAATTCAAACATGGTCCATATTAAACTCCAACTTAAACAAGTTAAAAAGTATTAGTCGGTATTGCCGCCAGATATATACCCTCAGCCTATATTCGATTATTTAAATATATTTTTATATATATTATTGGGGAATAATAACACTACATTCTCGTTTAATTGTGGTGTGGAAACGTGAGAGAAAAATATTTACTTTCTGGACCAATTTTTTTGCGTGAATTTTTAGTAGATTAAAAATAATGTAACAAAATTAATTTTTTTTGTAGGTTTTTGCTCAGACATTGCCCACATATAACGATACACGCAGATTTTGAGTATTTGGTAGGTCTTACCTAATGGAAATCGTTGTCACAAAAATCTGTGATAATAGAACCACTTTAATGTCAAATTCACTAGAAAAAAACTTATCAAAATTGCTTTAATATTTGGTGTATATTTTGAAATAAGATGCCGAAACAATGTGCGAAGATCGAGAGATAAAAGTCAAAATCAGACAAAATCGTATCGGACCTAAATAAATATGACATAAATATTGCGACGTGAGCTGTTTGTACTATATTGGTTTTATCCTTCACTTTATATGAGATATGTGATAACTTTTTGAAACCCTATGTGGGGGAGATACCAGAAAAATCATCTTTATAACAGATCTTGTGTACATAGAAATATTATGATGTGTCAAGTTTGAATGAAATCGGATTTTAATTTCGCGTTTTATGATCTTCATGGATATTCAAAAATTTGACCCTTTGTGGGGGAGGTACAATATACAACGTTTTGGTATAGCCCCCATATAATGGTACCTCCATTTTTTCGGTATTTTGGTGATTTAAGCAACATTATTCACCGAAAATGTCTCCATTTTTGCGGTATTTTAGTGATTTAAGCGACATTATTCACCGGAAATGTTCTAAATTTGGTATTTGAAGTTCATAATGGGTACTACAACTTATGGCAGAAAATTGTCTGAACAGGTCCCCATCTTCGTATAGCCCCCATATAACGGTACCTCCCTATATTCTAAATTTGGATTATGTTAGCTACATTATTCGCCGAATTCTTTTATTCAAGTTTCGCATTTGAATATTGTAATGGTATATGACAAAAGTTACCTATGCAGGTTCACGTAATAATACGGCTACATTTGGCATTTTTAAGATTTTAACAGAATTCCTAATGGATTTTATTTTTTTTGAAAATTTTCAAAATCATTCCAAATGGTGGAGGGTATTCGAAGATCTACCCGGCCGAACTTACAGTTTTTTTACTTGTTGTTATAGAAAAGGTTGACCCTTTGTGGGGGAGGTGCCACAAGGAATGGTCCGATATTTACCATATTTATAACACGTTTTGCGTTGATAGAGATATTGATATCTGCCAAGCTTGAATGGAATCGAATGTTAATTTCGTGTTTCATGAGTTTCATGGATATTCAAAAATTTGACCCTTTGTGGCGGAGGTACTTGATGGAGTGTACCAATATTTTTCATTTTCTCACCTAACCTAGCACTGATGCAAACATTAGGATTGGAAAAGTTGGAGGGTACAAACAATAAGTTCGGCTGTGCCGAATTTCTAATACCCTCCACCATTGGGTAAAGAAAACATTTGTATATATAAGTATGTGAATTCAAACATGGTCCATATTAAACTCCAACTTAAACAAGTTAAAAAGTATTAGTCGGTATTGCCGCCAGATATATACCCTCAGCCTATATTCGATTATTTAAATATATTTTGAATAGTGTTAAGATTATTCAAACGTTTGACCCTCCATGGAGCAGGTCCCAAAGGAATGGGCCAATATTGCCCATTTCCTATCGGACCCAAATAGCGTTGATAGAGATATTGATATCTGCCAAGCTTGAATGGAATCGAATGTTAATTTCGTGTTTCATGAGCTTTATGGATATTCAAAAATTTGACCCTTTGTGGCGGAGGTACTTGATGGAGTGGACCGATATTGTCCTTGTCCTGACCTTGCGCTAACGCGAATATTAGGATATGCAAGGTTGGAGCCAAATCGGATTATCCTTTCTCTTTTTGTGCAAAAAAATATATTTTTTGAGAATTTCGACATTTTGTGTGGGAGGTACCAAAAGGAATGAACCGGCATTGTTCATCTCAACACCAGACCTTAGGTTAATATAAATATTGGTATGTGTGAAATTTGAAGACAATCGGACTCTTACACCACATTTTATGAGAGTTGTAATTATTCAAAATTTTGACCATTTGTGGGGGAGGTACTTGATGGAGTGGACCCATATTGTCCATTTTCACACCTGACCTAGCACTGACGCAAATATTAGGATTTGCAAAGTTGGGGCAAAATCGGATTATCCTTTCTCTTTCTGTGTAAAAAATATATTTTTTTGAAAATTTCGACCTTTTGTGGGGGAGGTAATAAAAGGAGTGGACCGATATTGCCCATCTCCGAACTCGATCTAAGTTTGACAAAAATATTACGATGTACCCAACTTGAACAAAATCGGATACTCCCATCGAGAGTTATCGTGCGCACCAGCCAGCCAGACAGACAGATAGACGGAACGACGGACGGACATCGCTAGATCGACTCCAAATGTTCTGAAACGGATTTGGTCCAAAGAGACCTAGGGTCTAAAACCGTTATTTCGACTAGACACGTTTTGGCCGTATCAAATGATATATACCCTCTGTAGCCATATGGCTGAGGGTATAAAAAAACAAAAAGTGGGTGAGGTCATTACTTTGGGCCCTACCTAATCGGAAACCTCCATAAACAATTTTATACTTCAAGGACTGCCATCTACCAAATCTTCTTAAATACCAAATTTGAAACAATTTGGTGGGTAAATGTGCCTACGATTATCAAAAAACTGAATATCGGTGAGTATTGTTATATGTGCGCAATAGGAAAACGTGGACCTAAATACTCAATGTTCTGCGGCCGGAACTAACCCCCATTGTTTACTGCAAAAACCAATTTTTAGACAAATCCGTGAAAAAATGTGGCAAAAATAATCAAAATACCGAATATCGGGAGGTCCCTTGTATGTACCAAAACGCGGACATATACATACAATGTTTCGCCATACAAACTAGAACCCACTAGACCACGCTGCAGATACCAATTTTTATACAAAATGTGACAAAAATCAACAAAATACCGAATATCAAAAGGTACCATTATATGGGTCAAAACGTGTGCCGATATATCTCATTTTCAATACCTATAATCTTAGGCACAATACAAATTCTTCTGCTAAATTTTGACGCTCTACGTCAAGTAATGTGGGCTGTATCGTATTACGTTGGTAAGAGATCCTGAACAAAACTTTGGATTTCGAACAGACGTGTCGGAAGAATTTAAGAAATTTGGTACGCCGGATACTTTTAAATTCAATTTCAAGGTGTGAGTCCTTTCCGAATTTCATCAGAAGAATTATAAATTTTTTTTCAACATTTTTTCTAATAAATTCTTGCAACGGTATTTCCTTCACTGGTCATTTGGAATTACTTTTCTCTCTCTCTCTCTCTCTCTCTCTCTCCGTTTTATACTACCATCTTTCCTGTCGAACGGGAAAAAAGGAACAAAGTTCATTATTGTTGGTTCCTCCTCCCCGTCGCCATTGTTGTTTTCTTTTTTATTATTCTCCAATTACGATTTTATTTCGCCTCCGTTTAACTTAATTTTTATTGTTAATACCTTGAGATTTATTAGAAACAAATTATAGGATGGTTAAGCGTATCCAAATGCCTTGAATTCCTTTCCTTGTTATTGGGTAGAGTCAATATTCATTTGTTGTAAAGCCTTCTCCGGTTTGTAAGAAAAAGTTCAGCGTCGTTTTTTCATTATTGTTGGATTAAAGTGAAATATATTGCAGATGTTAATCAATATTTGCTGTTGTTGAAAAAAGGAAAAAAATAAGCGAAGAAAATGAGCTAAGCCCCAAAACGAAAGAAAGGGAACCGTTCCTTATGGGAATTTGTAACAAATGAAATTTTAGGTATGACTTCCAAAAATATTATTCCCAAAAGCATGTAATTACGTATTTTCTTTAAGTGAAAAAAAAATTAATTAGTAATTGTGAGAGATTATTATTTGGTGTGAGCGATATGTTTGGTATTACGGTATGTATGTAAAATGCGAAGAAGATATTTCAAATTGTCTTCGCTACTTTAAATTAGCTGCTATGTGAAAGGATTGTAGTGTAACAAAATTCATGTATGGCGTCTTGTTCTTGTAACACGTACCAACGCCCATTATTACCCAGCACCTTAATTAAAACCGTAACACCTTCAAAACAGGTACTCCCTCACTTCAGCAGAAGCGATAGCTAACCATGACGCGCCAGCTATAAAAACCCCTTTACAAAATTCATTCGGCCAGTCAGTCATTTTTCAATTTGCTACGACATTCGACAACTTTGACAGACGTAACTGAACGGCAACATCCTAAAACGAGTTACGTTCTCTCTGCCAAAACAAAATTATTTTCATCATCGACACTTCATCTGCCATCTTCCAAAGGAATTTCACGACACTTAGCCAGCCAGTCTGTTCACCCACCTAGCCAAGCAGACAGAGAGACAGGTCGTGTCAATATGCAATTGAGACAGCCCAAAGATGTGGGCCAACAATTAAACTCGGTCTATGGCCTAAAATATCTCTGGTGGAATTTCTCCATCATCGGCATACACCCGCCTGCCGGCGTAAGGACACATCCAGTCTGGCGCTTCTTGTACCTTGTGTATGCAGTGGTAATTAATTTCCTGGCCGGCTTCTGTCTGCCCGCCACCATGTTGGCCAATCTGATGTTGCTCAAATCATTGGAGGAAATCATTGGAAATTTGTCGTTGAGTATGACCATTGCCATATCGATGACCAAGGAATTGGCCATACTCTACTGTCGTGGTGGTCTCCTGAAGGCAAACCATTATTTGCGTTTGCTCGACGAACGTTGCAGTGCCCATCCCCGAGATCGCATGACTGTCATGGAAGCCGTCCGTATGTGTCATTGGTATTATACGGTGTATATATCGTTTTATGGCTTTTGTGCCATTGGTTTTGCCTACATCGGCTGGAGTAATCATACATTGGTGTACAGCGCCTGGTTTCCCAACATCTTTGCCAATGACCAAACCAATTATTTGGCTGCGTATATTTTCCAAAATTTAGCTCAAACTTTTACGGTATTTCAAAATGGCAACAATGACATGTATCCGCTGTGTTATATAACTTTAATGATTTATCATGTCCGGGCCTTGGCTGATAGGATTCAACGTGTTGGTGGCGATGCCGAAACGAGTGCTGAGGAGAATGTTCAAGAATTACGCAATTGTATTCAGGATCATAAAAATGTTCAGAGGTAAGGTTCTATAGCTAAAGCTTAACCTACACTTACATATTTAGAAAAAATCTATATTTTCTTCCTAACTCTAAAAAGGCTTTGTGACAAGTACTCTTCTAATGAAACCTTCTCAAAAATATAAAATGCGACGTTTCATTTCCTTGGCATATTCTAATTTGCCCTATCTAAACTTATCAATTTGATTTATTGGGCATCGATAGTTCTAGGTAAATTTGGAATTTATATATCCGTCGCATAATCTGCTTTCGGCGTTACATCCAAGGTTTGGGATTGAAAAGAAGACTCCACAAGACTCCGATTGATCGATAGATTTTAAAACAACTTTGTCTCCGGAGCTCAATTTGAATTTTTCAGATTTATTTGCGTATTTCTCTTTCGAGACGAACTTAATAATCTAACATTTGCCGAGAAAAGAAAGATCAGAGAGACACTAGCACGCGCCCACTACAATGCGATGCGTTTTACGGCGCACCTCAGAAATAAGCAACCCTCAGAAATATTTTGTGTGGAGGCCTTAGAAGACCTTTGGATATTTTAGGACATTAGATAATTAACAAGTAAAAAAGCAGCTAAGTTTGGCCGTACTTTTCATATCCTCCAACATTGGGAACTTGTAAAATTAAAAAAAAATCTTGTTGAAAAATACACTCAACTGTTATATGTAGGCTATACGATAGGTTGAAGGAAACCATACGGCCATCAAAAAGGACATTTGAAAGAATCCGGTAAATACTGTCGCTAAAAAAATCAAAATACCGAATATTGGGGAATACCATTTTATGGGGGTATGCGAAATCTTAAACCTATATATAAAATTATTTTCCCGGGGGTAAAGTACTCAGAAGGTACCCCTGGTGCGGATTTTCAGAAAATTCTGTACACAATTTTGGCTACAATCATCAATATCTATACCGAATATCTGAAAGTTACATTGGGATATAAGATATCATGGACCTTTATAGACAAATCTCTTCCAACGAGTAGTATACTTATAAAGAATTTTTTGTAAGAAGTTCACATAATTCATCGAAAATGTGGCTAAAATCATCAAAATAACTAATATCCAGAGCTATATCTAAATTTTAACCGATTCTCACCAATTTCAATAGGGTTCGTCCTTGATTTTTATATTTTTTTCAAATTTTTTGAACTTTTTTGGAGGAGGTACAAATACACTAGGACTCATATACACCATTTTGACAATTGTTGTAATAAACACAAAAATACAGGATGAGATAAAAAACTGCAACAAAGTCATCGCCATAATTATACCCTACACCACATGGTGGTAAGGGTATTATGTCTTTGTGCATTTATTTGTGACATGGAGCAGGAAGCGAGATAGACCCATAGTTACTTTTGAGGATCTCCACAGAATCACTTTCTGAGTTGATTTATGCATGTCACTCCGTCAGTCCGTCCGTCCGTCCGTCCGTCTGTCCATGTATTCTTCTGAACGAAATGGAGGTCGCATTTATTATCCGATTGAGATGAAATTTTGCAAACAACATTTGTTTGGCCCAAGGACGAACCCTATTGAAATTGGAGATAATCGGTAAAAAATTAGATATAGCCCCCATATATATCTTCGTCCGATTTGCTTTTTATTGTGCGCCAAACGTGTAATATCAGTCCGAATAGTATGGAATTTTGCACATACCAAACCAAATTAGGCCTGAAAATAAGTATGCCAAATTTGATCCAAATTGGTTTAGATATAGCTATAGCTCCCATATATATTGTTCATCCGATTTGTTATTGTGTCCTCCACAGCCGTAATATGCACTCTGTAACAACAATATTTGGAGAAATATATCAAATGCAGCTCAGAAATACATTTGCTAAATTTTATCGAGATCGGTTCAGATTTGGATATAGCTCCCATATATAACTTCGTCCGATTTACCTTTTATTGTGCACCAAACGTCTAATATTTGCCCAAATTGGATGAAATCTGGCACTTACGACCGAATTGAGCCTAGAAACTAGTATGTCAAATAGGTGAAGATCGGTTCAGTTATAGCTACAGCTCCCATATATACTATTCATCCGATTTGTCATATTTGTTACCCACAACCGTAATATGCACTCCATAACAATGATATTCACGGAAATATATCAAATACCGCTCAGAAATATCTTTTCCAAATTTTATCGAGATCGGTTCAGATTTGGATATAACTCCCATATATATCTTTATCTGATTTCAAATTAATTTTTCACCAAATAGGCAATACAAGCCCTAATTTAAAAGATACAAATGCTTCAGCATATTTAGTTCATTGAACTTTAAATTACAATTATAATCATAGCGTGTATGATTAAATTGTTCCATAAAATCTTTTAATTGTTATGTGAAGCTGTACTAAATTTGCATGGTGGTATGTTCGGCCCCGCCCGACTTTAGGACTTTCTTAACTAGTTTTTACATTTTTTTTATTAATTTTATTGAATGAAGGCAAAAAATGTCGGAAATAGCATCAAATTTTAGAATAAGTTTAGATTTGTTCGAATTGGTCTCCTCTGGCACGAAATATGGTCTTCAAACAGCCAATTTAACAATCACACGCTGCCCGAATGTTGCTCTGCGGTATTGTGGCCCATTCCTGGCGAAGCGCTTCCTTGAGGTGATCGACACTTTATTTTTTTAGTGACAACCTTGCTTTCCAAAATACTCCAGACACATTAGTTCAACGGATTGGTATCCGGAGATTTTGGTGGCCATTGTGCGCTGGAAATGAAGCGAGGAACCTCGTTTTGTAACCATTCTTGGGCTACGCGTGCTGAGTCCTGTTGGAATGTCCAAGGTCTGCGGCCAAAATGTTTGCGTGCCCAAGGCATTAATACACCCTCCAGAATATTTTCGCGATAATATTCGGCATTTATTCTGATGCCACGGTCGATTAATAAGAGCGGAGAGCGACCATCGATTGTTATGGCGGCCCACACCATCAACATGGCTGGTGCTTGAGCTCTGGTGGCCAACCGAAGGTGCACATTTTCAGCTGACCTCTTTGGCAAGTAATTACGATCATTTTGTTTGTTTACAAACTGCTGGACAACGAATGTTTTCTCATCGGAGAAAACTAAATTGGGCAGTTCACCATTTTCGGCCAAACGAAGCAACTCTTTAGCTCTTTTGAGTCTATTTTCTTTACGTTGCGGCGAAAGTTCTTGCACTTTATGGAATTTCAATGGCTTTACCCCTAGCTCATGTTTCATTATTTGTCGAATTGAATATTGCGATATGTTCAGCTCACAGCCATTTTTTGGCTATTGCGACGCGGGTTTCGATCGAGTCACTTCTTTACTATTCGAGCCATTTCTGCTGATGTTGCTGTTTTTTCTGTACACTTCCTTGACGTTGAGCTACGCTACCAGTATCACGGTAACGAGCGATCACATTTAAATGCTGGAGTGCTCTAACGATATCCACTTGTGGTTTTCTAGCCAAATATAAAGAAATCTCAATATCACACTTGAATTCCATCACGAATATCTTTTTTTCTGAAAAATTCTCACCAAAATGTTTTTGTACGCTTGTAAAAATATAATATAATGAGCTGTCACTGGAATAATTTTAACTGCTGTCGGACGAGTGGCAGTCTGAAGTTGGTTGCATTTTTGTTCACCTCATCAAAGTAAAATTTAGTACTTTTGAGGATTTTTATCCTTTGTGATAGAGATAGCAGAAGAAGTTAAGCGATTCCATCCATCATTAAAGCTGATTCAAATATTAGGATGAAATTTTTAAACTAATATGTTGTTGGAAAAATCTGAGCTGATGTGACGGATGTCAAAAAAAGAGGCCCGATGTTACGCACCTTCAATCACGGATGGACGGGCACATAGCCGAAATTTTCTAAAACGGATTTCGTCCAAAGAAATCCAGGGCTCTTATCCATAGTTACGATGAAAACAATTTTGGCTGAATGTTTAAATGTTTTATTTGTAAAATAGCTAAAAGTATAAAGAACGAAGAAAAATCCTAAAAATAACTTCCTTGGAGTCCGCTCCTGTTATGAGATTTTCCAAAAAGATCCTCCTACCATGGGATGTACGCTCTGAAACCACAACCGGGTCCGTATCATATTAAATCACATTCTCGAGCTTGAACAAAATAACATCCTTGGAGTCCACTCCTGTTATGAAATTTTCCAAAAAGATCCTCCTAACTTGGGATGTACGCTCTCAAACCACAACCTTAGCTTAAACAATTCAAATCAGGATCTCCAGCCAATTGAATTAGCAACAAGTGTCTGAATTATTCCAAATTATCAGCGTAAATTCATCGCAAAGATATTTCGTTTTAAACTTTTTCCAACTTTAAGACTTCAGCCAACTTTTCTAATTTGGCACCCAAAACTAGTGGAACCGAACCAATTAACAGTCCACCAAACAATTATCAAGCACAATCTTCATTAAGCCTCCCAGCTATCATTCCAAACCAAACAACATTCACAAGAATGCAATTGAAACAGCCCAAAATTGTGGACGAACAATTACCGCATTCAAAAACAACGACAACAGCAGCAACATCACCAGCACCACCACCACCAGAAATGGCATGGAACATCTAAGGGATTGCTTTTCTCCATGGTCTGAAACAAATCACGAATCGCAACTTGTTTTCTGCTCAATGTCATGACAATTAATTTTTGGGAAAGTTTACGTTGTTGGATGTGATCTCTTGGGGTGGTGAGGTGAGGGGAGGAGTGGAGTGGAGGTGAATGGGATATTGGTATGCGGCCAGGATAAGGCAAGAAATCAACGACAAATCTTGTGTCGAACATTGGTCCGGACATTGTGAACATTTGGTTCTGGTGCATTATGCGGGAACAACAGAGAGTAGCAGCAGCATCATCAGCAGCAACTACAAGTTTGAAAGTCAATGAATATTCGAAACAATACAAGTGGGAACACACACAACATCCTTGGCATCACCAACGTGGTGGGGGTTGATGGCCGTGAAGTTTGGCGTTGCTACGCGTATAATG